GAATGATTTTTCCTTAGAATGATGGCATCTACCAGCGGGATAATGCGAGGTGTCATACAGCTCACAGTGTATGTGCGTGGTACGAAGAGCACAAGGATGAGTTTACCGTACTTCCCTGGCCAGCAAACTCTCCGGATTTAAACCCAATCGAGAATCTGTGGGACCACCTCTATCGGGTTGCTCGCGCCGCATATCCTCAACAACGTAATTTAGCGCAGCTGGCCATGGCACTGAAGTCGGCATGGCTCAACATCTCAGTGAACACCTTCAGAAACCTAGCTGACTCTCTTCCTGCACGTCTCACAGCGGTCCACTCTGTCAAAGGTGGTTATTCTGGCTTTTGACAGGTGGTCACATTAATGTGACTGGACTGTGTATATATATATATATATATGTATGTATGTATGTATGTATGTATGTATATATATATACTATATATATATATATACCTGCCAACTTTTACGCATTTGGCGGAAAATTTTATTTCTATATTTAAAGTGGTAGTAAATATATACTATTTTTTCTTTTATAAACTAAATTTTTAAATGATTTTCATCACCACTATTCTTAAAAAAATTAAGCATATATATTAATATGTGTTACTATCATGGTAGGCAGGCAGATTAAGCTTTTTGAAATACAACGTATTCTTTTGCTTAAAATTGAAATGTTTATTCCATTTTAATACCACTGGGAAAATTCATAATGGTAGGGATTAAAAGTTGGCAGGTATGTATATATATATATAAAGAGAGAGATAAAAATTAAAATTAAGGCAAAAAAACAACGGGGGTTGTTAGACTTTATGGCTAGGGTTTTGTGATTTGTATATTTTTGCTTAGGTGGGTAAGGGGTCTAAAAATGGTAAAAACATGTTTTCGTAATTTTCGAATGTCCCTTATAGACATTAATGTGCTAAAAGGTATATGGAAGCTTTATAGCGTATACGTGAGCATTATTTCGGCTATTCAGATAGTTTAGAATGCAATTGACTAACCTCAACAAAGATCATGCACAGCAAGTTTCACGTTAAATTTAAATACGTATAAAGTAATAACAGAAATGAGGTATAATGGATATAAGATAATAATTGTTACCATTTAGAACTTTTCTTATATGCTAACTAATTTATTGTAATGTTAGTATTCAATTTAATTTTTTATATTTTTTCGTATAATATCGGTTGTTATTCTCTTCAATTAGGAACTGGTCATATCTTCATCCTTCACTGAAGACAATGTTCCAGCTAAGCTTGTCGTCAGCCATTTGCGAACTCTGAGGGAATTAGATCTGACAAACAATATCATCACAAACTTGGACAATGATTGGTTTAAGAATGCCCCATCGTCCTTACGTCGATTATCGATCACCAATAATGGCATTCAGAAAGTTGGTGACCGGGCATTTTCAGACATTTCTAATCTAGAATATCTTTCTTTGAGTGGCAACAGATTTGGAACTTTAGCCAGGAGTATGCTTCCTAATCCTGCTAACGAATTGGATACACTTGAATTAGAGTAAGTTGAAGTTTTAGTCACTGAAGCAAATATGAGAATCTGCTTTAAGTTATAATTTTTAAAAAAAAAGAAAGAAAAAAAAAACTTAAATCCAGATAACTTGGACTCACTTTATCTAGATTTCAAACAATCTAGATTTCGTTCAATCTAGATATAGATCAATCTAGATAAAGATCAATCTAAATCCACCTACAGGATCTTATCCAAGCTATTTCTGCAAGCAACGGTTATTGCGATCTTGATCAGATTTGCCAATGTTCGCCATGTTATACATGAAGGAAAAAAATCAAGCACTGATTTACGAATCAAATAAGACTTAATTTTGATATATTTTTGACTCAAGTTTAAAAGATTGATAAAGTTGTCAAGAAGAAAATGATTTTTCCTGGTGGCTTCAATAGTATGGTTCCTGATAATTTCTCCATTCAGAAAGTTTTTGATAAATTTCAATCCATGATTGCAGCTCCATTCACAAATCGAGGCTTGCACAGACGCGGTTTGACGAAAAGGGCTTTCAAAAACTGGACTGGCCTTCTCAGAGCCCCGATCTAAGTCCTATGGAACACCTTTGGGATGAATTAGAGAACAGATTACGTAGCTAGCCAAATCGACCATCCTCACTGCAAGCACTCACCTCACTTCAATTGTGATGGAAGTCAATTCCTATGGCCACCTGTAAAAAACTGATGGAAAGTCTTCCCAGACGTGTGCTGGCTGTCATCGATGCAAAAGGGGGACAGACATATTAATATGTGACTCAGAACTCTCTAAGTCCATACCACAGGGTGTCCAGATACTTTTGGCCGGATAGTGTATTAATCTGAACAGTTCAAATTTGACAGGAGAGGGTTTGGTAAGGGGAGTGTATTTGTGATTTGCTTTCTTTTGCATAAAAGGATGGAGCGATCCTTTTGAACGATTCTTTTATTCTCCTTTTATACCCTCTTATAAAATCCTCATATTTCTAAATTTTTCTTAAAAACATGAAGCAAAAAATCTCAAAAGGAAAACTTGGAGTGGAAAAAAATCCATATTTGGATTAAAAGTTGATTTTGGAAAGACGGTGATAGAAAAGAATTTCATTGAAAAGTTTCAGAGGTTAAGAGTTTTTAGCAAAAAGGAAAGCACAAAAGAATATTCTGCTAAAAACTATATAAAAAGAATTAAAACGTAAATTTTGCCTCATGCTAACTTGCATCTTTTATTAAACCAGATCGTGATATTAAATGTAAAAATTAAAGTGAAGGTATATGTTGCTAATTTTTTTCTTAAACATGGAGGTTTTGTGACTTGCTTATATTTTCTGAAAAGAGGGAGGGAGCGATTCTCATAATTTCCAAAATTATACTTGCGTAGTATTTGAATGGTCCCATTTCCTTTCTTAATTAATTCATGAAATTAATATATTAAATTTTTTAATTTATATCCTTTATAATATTGCAGCAACAATGCTTTGAGAAGTCTTCCAGACAATTTTTTCAACAACATACCCTACTTAAAGGTAGTTTCCCTGTCATCCAATGGAATAAACAAGCTTCCAGAGAAAGTGTGGAGACCCGTATGGAATAAACTCGACGACATTGATCTCAGAAGTATGTGTACAAAAAATTTTTTACAAGGATAAGGTGACCATCTGTTCTCAAATTTTGAGGGCAAAGTCTCGAGTTTAATAATTTGTCCTTACAAACTATCAAAAATTTTCAGAACAGAAATTTTTTAAAAATTCTAATATGTGTCCTCAAATGTCCGCGAAATTTACACCATACTCGCCTTAAAATAATTTCAGCAAAAAAAAAATTATAGATGTGTTCAAATGTAGAATATTACATGACATTTTAGAACTGCATAGAAATAAAATTTTTAAAAGACTTTTAACAGAAATCTTTGTTCCACACATAGTGGATATTTCCGTATGGTGATCGGTTTTGCCATTTTTTTTTTAAAGAAGAAGCATGTAGATGTTTGCCCGAGGGTGGCTACGAGTTATACCGTTCGAGTTGGACCCTCTCTGTGATGTTCCTCTTTTAGTTTCTCTCTGACCGCTGTCCGACTTGGTAATTTTTCTGCCACAGATACGGAAATCTCTTCCACATATAAATTAATATTTCCATAAATATATGAGTGTTTTCAAATTGTAAAATTTTTCGAGAACACTTTGCTGATTTGTCCTCATATCATGGTTTGTAAATCTGGCTACATCATTAATATCTGTTAATAACATATTAATATCCGTTATTAAATCAACTTGAGATTGACGTGTGAGATCACCGTAGTGTACATGTATGCGTTCTCCTAGCTTGGAATGAGTGGTTTTAACATCATTCTGTTTTACTTTATAACCGCGGTGTTGAACGCTCTAGCCATTTCTGAGTTTATTACTATCACTACTCAACTCCGCAGCCTTGTAATTTGGAACCCTACCCAGAATATATAGAAACTCCTGGATCAAGTATTGTGATAAACTAGATTTTGCGGAGGAGTTTTTGACGGAACCATGCCGCATTTTCGTTACATGGTTAGAAAAACAGTGAAAACGTGACTCAGGTGGCAAGGGAATATACTTTTGACGGGAACTTTTTATGCGTTTGCCAGTGAGGACATTTTACGTTAGCACCGTGGTCTGAGCAGGGTGCAGAATTCGTATTGATCCACCATTGCTGGATTGGAACTTGGTCACCTCATTGGTAGGCGAGCCTTCTATCTCCTAAGCCCCTATTTTTAATCGTAACATCTATCCGCTTGCCGATATATACATAAATACGTTTACAGACGGTGATTTCAGTAAATAATTACACATAAATAAATATCATGAAAAATTGGGTGGGTTAGTCTCTGTTGCTTATCCTATATGTTAGATTTGATATTGTTTTTATCGAAACATAAAGTAAATTAAATTATAGTCTTAATTCATTACCACTGATAAGACAAGAAATTTGTTCTATCATTTGATATAGGTAAACATTAAGTCAATATCGCTTAAAAATTTAAATTTTTATTTTTTTATAGAAGAAAAGTGGCTGCCTAATTTAAAATTAAATTCGGCGACACTGATTCGGCTATATTTCTTTTTCTAAATTGCTTTGTTACTGCGTAAATAGCATATCTAGGCGTCTTGCAGAGGTTTTATGCGCATTGTTAAAGTTGGAAGAAAGCTTATTCATTGTAAAGTAATATTTAACTTATTATCATAACTTATAGTATTTTATATTCTTCAAAGTATTTTATTTTTTAATGTATACCAATACATAAATCTTGATTTTTATTTTTTTCGTGACAATTTCGATACACGAAAGAAAAAAATCCCAGCTTGAATGAAATGTTAGCACAAATAATAAACCATAAATCATTAACTGTCAATATGTGAACACTCGCTAGCCAAATGGCGAGAGAGTTCACCATATACAACGCTTTGCTGAAGGAAGGGGATATATAGTTTGTCTAAAGAAAGAACTCCCTTTCCCTTCTCCAAGAAGTCTAAAGCCGTCTATTGCTATGGAAACAAGAAATAGCGCATTTCAAAGAGCACAGCTTCTCCCATAATTCCCTTTCAAAACCTATATTATGACCCAGTTTCAAAACCTATATTATGACAACTTAAATTATGACCCAGTTTGAAATAGTTAAATCTCGTAACTATAGTCACAGTCACTATTCCAGACGAAGGGCTAGGGGAGTTCTTTACATAAACAAACTATAGCCCCCTCTGGTGTAGAAATCACTCATCTTCCATTATGGAGTGATTTTGAGGCAGTGATAGCCTGGTTAGTAGAGTACTGGGTTCATGTCCAAGAGTTCGTGGGTTCGATCGCCGCCGACTGAAGACTCTCCGTGTAGTAAATGGTGACTAATGCACGTTAAATCTGTCGAGTCGCAAAGACCTCCATGCTCCCATAACAAATCAATACCTCTGGGAGCACTGGTTCAGGAGTTTCCCTGTCTTCTGGATTGGTTCAAAATTACAAGGCTACTGAGATAAACATTAGTAGCCGTAAACCCAAAAATAGGTCGACTGTTGCACGACGGATATAAAAAAAAAGTAGAGTGATTTTGCGCTTTTGCAGGACATCCTGGAGCATCAGCGGCGCACCCAGAAAAACATTCTGGGGGTGAGGCTCGAAAATTGATAATCTTAAGTTTACTTTTCATGAATGTTGAACACTAAATTATTTCAAATAATATTATTGAGTGTTGAGGGTTCAAGGGAATGGAACGTCAGCCGCACAATGAGGTACCCAAGTTCGAATCGCAGCTGTGGATGGTTGATACGAAGTCTGCTCACGGCTCGCACCGACCACAGCGCTGACGTAAAATATCCTCAGTGGTAGACGGATCATGGATTAGAATCCCTTTGCTGTCGAGCTAATCGTGGGATGTTTCGTGGTTATGAAGGGGACCAAACTTCAGACCTTTCTCTTGACCAGATTATAGGGATCGTTACCAAATTTAATACTTTAACTTATGAATGATTTAAATATCTAATAAAGTAATGAAAACTAAAACACGACGTTTTCAAAAAAAAAGTTCTTAAAAATGGCCTTTTATAAAAGGGCCTTACAAAAAATAATTTTACCGGTGCACCACAGACACCGGTTTTAAATTTTTACCGACTGATCCGTTAGATACATTTTTTAATCTTTCGCTTCATAATTTGTCTAAGCCTTTTCATCTTACTTAAAATTCATATGCCGTTAAAAAAATCCTAAATTTTTACTTCTTTTTGGATTTAATGTCACTTTTTTTGTTGATGCACTTCTAGATTTCACCCTTCTGGATCTGTGGTAATGCTTTGTTAGGCTCGCAATATTGCTTAACAATGAAAACGTCTCGACTTTTGGTGCGATGCTCCTTTTTTTAATAATTATTTTAAACTGTCAGCTGATCAGATACTACTTTAGTACTTAATTGATTTTGTTGGTAATATTTTATTGCACAAACGGCTTAAAATTATAATATCATAAATTTCGGGGCACAAATATCGATGCAACATTTTTATGGAACCACTCCCTAACCACTTTTTATGAAGTTCAAACTGAAATAAATTTTCCTGATTCGGTTTTTTTTTTTGGATTGCTGACCGTTATTTTACGGTTATTTTTTTAGCTTCATTTTTTGAGAGCTTTTTTATATGGATGTTTGACTGAATGTAAACAATAACAAGTTTCTTAAAACCGGAAGAAATTTAGAGAACTTCCGGTGTACATCTCCGCTTATAGTATATTTACGAGGTGATGCGTGAACAGGCTTAATATCAAAGAAAGTTTTATTACAAGTTTAATAAAGGCCTGTTTAGATGATCCAAGTTCTTGGACGAAGATTGATTGATATTGATGGAAACTTGTTTTGCTTTGAACTTGGATCGTGTAAACGATCATCCAAGGTCCAAATCCTTGGATGATAGTAGAGCATGTTCTACTTTCCATCCAAGTTTTTTCTCCCTTAACCAATTAGCGTCTTAGGTTTTATGACGTCAACAAACAGGCATCAGACTCTGTCATTTTGTTGTTTATTGTCATGCATTTTAGTCCAAATAAATTGATCTGTTACGGTCTATTTGTGTTACTATGATTTTATTTTAATTTATTTAGTAATTTTAAACTCATGCAAGTATGATTTTATAATGTTGAATATGAACAATGCGCATGCGCAAGGTTTTCTTTCGACCAATCAGTGACATTCAAGAACTTGGATAGTGTAAACAGGCCTTAATGCTAAGTGGCGTGCTTTTTCAAGCTCGGGCGTAACAATCAATCGGAAGTAGTAACCCGGAAATCATACAACGAATTTAACCCCTAGCGGCATCTATGCTTAGTTTTACACTGTCAACCATCCATAAAACAGACTATTTGTCAGTTTATAATGTATTTGTCATAAAACAGATTTGTTTTGCAGGAAATCCACTGGATTGTGATTCTCACATGAACTGGATGTGGCAAGTTCCCACCTGTGCAGACATATCCGCCACCTGTATGTCACCTCGTCAAAAGTTTCGGAAAAATATCCCATTTGTGAAATGCACGTAACACAGAATTAAAAATTGAAAACTACTGTGAGACTTTTTTATATAGTGAAATATTTGGAAACTTTTCTCCTCGCTAAACGATATAAAAAATAACACCAAATCAAATTCTATCCATAAAAAAATCATTTAAAAGTTTAATTGGAAAACTGCTAATTGAAGACAAAAAGGCGATTCTTCATATGCTCAGGAAAAATATCAACGTCTTTGAATATTATATATATTACAGTAAAATTGTAGAAATCAGTTATATAATAGTTTATCTAGTTAATGGTTAATGTGCATAAAACTTGCCTGGGCCGTAAAAGGGCCAGATTTTTTTTTCATTTTTCAAATAACCTAGTTATTCTGCAAACAACTTCAGAGAATATATCTCGATAAAGAATCCCTTTATATTTTTTGGATAATCATGTCCAGAACGCATATAACCTTATGGAACCTCATGTCGGAATTTTCTTTTTATTGTCTTTAAAATGTTTGTACTTAAAACCTTTTTTCAATAAAGCAAAAATATTGCAGTTTCAAACCTTTCATCTTAAAAGGATTAAAAATTATTTTTTAAAGCTTTTGTCAAAAAGTATTGTCACCTAGGTAAAATGCTCACTTAGGTCCATAACAGGGCCTGATTATAACCTAGGCCTAATAGGCATGAGCCTAGGGCCCACACTTTCTGGGGGGGGGGTCTCAAAAATTAGTGAAAAGTCCACAATATTACTTTTAAAAAAAAGTACTGAAAGAAACAGTTTATCTCAAAAAAGGCATTTTTATTTTCAAATTTTTTTTGTATTGTGATAAACTAATCTCGTGTAAACATTGCACTAATCAAATTCAGAAGTACAGCTAAATTTTTAATTAGTGCCATTTTTACATCAACGGCTTAAGCAAATGCAACAAGAATGCATATTCGCAAAGTCTCTTGTAAATGATTAGTGTCAACAAGAACTAAAAGCTTAATCTTAACAAATATGTAAAGCTGTAGAAGGAAGGCCACAATCTTTAAAATAATTCAGCTAATCAGTGACTTCAATTGTTTGTGGTCACTAAATTACTTTTATTTTCATACAACATTGTTTTGTTGTTTTATATTTTGTTTTAATATTTAGATGCGTAAACTTTATCTTAGAAAAATAATCTTCAATTGTCTGCTTTCAAAAGTTGCAGTTCAATACATTCTTTTCATGTTAGGACAATCTTCTGAAATTTAACTTCAAAATATTTTGTTAGGGGCCCGGAAAATTGTGTGGGCCTTGGGCCTGAATTTGTCTTGATCGGTCCCTGAATGACATTTAAGCTGACTTCACACTAGCGATAGGATCAAATTGCATTGTCCATTAAAATTTCACGACAAGGTGAATTTTAGCTGATCATACAGCGAAAAGAAACCTTATTACCTAGGTTTAATATTATTTTCACCTTGAGACTAGCTTTATTAAAGGATTTTTCACGCTTAAAAACCCTAAGTTCACCTCGATTTAAGGTTTTCATATAAAAGGTTGTTTTCGAAGGTTTTGAATTAAGGTAATGTGCGCAGATTGTCACAGATCTCGTTTTAAGGTTAGAAGGTTTACACATAAACCGCATAAAAACCTATTTAGGTTTGCATTAAAAGGTTTTTGCTGAGTGCAAATAAACCTTATTTTGCTATCTGGGATGCACACTACTTCACTACCTATACTAATGTACTTATAAAAGCAAAAAAAAAAACTTCACTAGAACAACAGCAATGTTTCTATATGCTTGAATTAACATCAGTGTTATTTATTTATTTATACCCTAGAAATTAATATTAAGCAATCAAGCTACGTCCGATTGGACAATGGGCCATCGGACATTAATTGTTATATTAAAAAAAGATTATTTTCAAAGTTTCAAGTNGCGAGCGAGCGCAGCGACCCATGGTTCACGGCGTGAACCACATAGGATTGCGTAGCAATTCTCTAGGGTTGGCGAGCGTCAGCGAGCAGGGGGCAGAGCCTCCTAGTTTAAATAAAAACTTGTATATCGCTTTTTTTTTCTTTCTTAAATTTTGAAGATCTTACTTGGCCCACCAAACATTTTTTTTCTTGATTTTTGGCCCTCGACCAAAAAAGTTTGCCCATCCCTGGTCTATAGGGAAGAAGTGAGTGGAGGAAAAACTTGAAACCTTTACCCCTGGTGGACAGTTAAGGCTGTTTTTCGAAAGCTGCGTCGTAAAGAATGAGGTTTTTGCGAATAATCTGCTATTTTTATAACTGCTGTTAATTTGCAACAGTTATTCATAACTGTCTGGTCAAGTTTAGCCTATCTAAAGCCAGCATTGTCTACGTTTATTTTGAAAATGACAACGTTTATTTTGAATTTCTAAGGTGTACCAGGTTGTTTTTCTTACACTTGTAGCAAAAGAGGTATTTATGGGATATAAGAATTTCACCGTATATCAACTAAAGAGAGTAAGGTATTTATTGAGATGTATGAAGTCATTTTATTTTTATCTAAGCGCATCATAAGGTTGTTTAAGGTTGACTTCATATCAACTAGATTGAGGAATTTATTTTTAAGGTATTCAGGTTGTTTTTCTGATACTTACAACAAAATTTGTATTTTTGAGTTATAAAAAATTTGCCTTATTTCAACTAAAGAGAGTCAGGCATTGATTGGAGTGTATGAAGTCATTTTATTTATAAATAAGCTAATTTTGAGGTTGTTTAAAGTACACTTCAAATTAACTAGCTCACTTTCTACAGTTCCGAGCAAGCCGGTGAATGGCGCTTATATGTATAATAACACTGCAGCAGCGAGACAAAAGTGGCTATCGAGCTACTGCTCAGTCTTCTCCTGAGAAATAGTTCTGAATTTAAACGAAAAAGAAAAAATAATCTTGCATAAGCTACTGAATTTATGTAATTGTTGAGAACAATAGTTTGCCTGATATTTGATAATTGAAAACTAATATCTATACTAGCTCACTTTTTCATTTATGATCACGGTACTATTATATTTCGCTGCATGTTATTTTTTCGCAATTTACCGGTGTTAATATTTACTAAGCTAATTGTTATTACTTATTAGAATAATAAGCAGAATTAAATAAAACCCGATTTCAAGTTTACGACAATTTATTTCAAGGTTATGAGCATTTTAATGCAGCTGATTATGGTTCACTACTTAAAAATAAACGAATTTCGGAAATCTTCAATTTTTTTAGAAATAAGTCAGTATTGTTTTTTATGTAATTTTAATGCTGAATTGAATAAAAATCAATTTCAAATAAAAGAATTTATTGTTTGAAAGTTATGTGCTTCATTTTTTTTTAAAATTTCATCCTATGAGATATGTTTTTATATTTAAACACTTGATTGTAGCAACTTACAATTTGTTTTATTCTGCTTGGTATTACAAGCTACATAGGAAATATTTTATTCAACCTCTTTTAAAAGCATTATTTCAAATCGTTTTTTCTTAGACATTTTCCTTCCATAAAATTGCTCATAATTTTAAAATAAATGTTCCTATCATCTTGTGGTTAAATTTATTCCTAAAAAATTATAGGCATGAAAAATTTATGAAATGCATGAAAAATTTATATCTTGCATGGAATTCTCTTTGGATTAGCGAATTTTTTAATTATGTGCAAAAATTATTCAATTCGCTCAAAAAGGTCTCGAGATATGACGAAATACACAAATAAATATAACTAGTGGGATGCGCCCCGTGCTCGCTAACGCTCGCCAACCCCCGAAAATTGCTATGAAATCTGCTGGTAATTGTACTATTATTGTAATAATTGTACAATTATTACTTCATTTCTATGAAATTTAACAAACCAACGATGCAAAAAAAAATCTTATCTCTCAGGTTTTGCACCCAAGTAAATATTTATTCAAATCCAAAAATAATCGTGTATGTTGCTCTTTTTTATTTCATTTTTTGTATTTTGCGAATATAATTCAGCATGTAGAAATTTTCTCGAAGAGACTCTCCCTTAACTTTTTAAAACTACTCATTTTGGGCGAAATTATTAACATTTGTAAATTTTAAACCGCATGAAAGAGGAAAAGAATATTATATTTTATTTAAATTCCTTGAATTGAATATCGCGTGAGCAGAAAATAAAAAAAAAATTAATTTCAGATGCTCGATATTTTTTTTGTTGCCATAATTCCTAATAAGTCGGGAAAAAAACTGTTAATTTATCATAGAATTAAATTTAAAAGAAAAAAAATCTTGTCACTAAGTTTCTGATTAAGAGAAGATTCAAAATGATCCGTGACAAGCATTATTTGTAATGCTTGTTAATTTGCTTTTTGATATTAGAAAAAACTTTGATTAAAATCTGACTGTAATATTTAATGTTCCTTCAGACATAAACGAGTCCTATAGAAAATTTTGATAAAAGTTGCGGCCCGCCTTTTGACTGGAGTTTTTAATTGCGGCCCCCCGCCAGATGTAAGTTGGAAACCCCTGGTTTAGAAAAGAGATGGGGAACTGGAAAATGGGAAACTAAATTGCCAAAAATGACTTTTCTGCTGCGCACTTTTCCTTCTATCTTTAATAAACTTATATGTAAGGGGAAAAAATCAACTTAATAATTAAAAGATTTAAAAAAAAACCTATAAATACAAATTTCAAACAAATAATATTTTTAAAAAAGAAAAATTTAATAATTTATAAAACATAAACCTGAGTCTCGTTCGGCGTGCCTCTAACCTGGTGTTCCAGGCGATCGTCAAGCCTTTCACAGGCCCTCACTCTCTTTTTTACATCTTTTTGGTCGATTTTAATTTGTTCTTTGATTTTTTGTTATAAGTACTATCATTCTCAAATTTTATGAATTAGGTATTACTCGTTCTTTTATTTTATGCCAAATACCATCCTTTCTCTGATTTTTAAGTCACAAATACTATCCGTTCTTTGATTTTACGTCATAAATGATATCCATGCTATGATATTATGTTATAAGAGCTATCCGCTCTTTGCTGTTGTTGACTTGAATCACTTGTCAATCCTAACTTAAGGCAGAAGGATGCACTTCTTCTTGTTTTTCAGTGGTGGCGTCTTTAGACAAGAGTTTGACTTCTGCCACACACATATGTTACAACCCGTTTTAAAGGGAGGACGCATTCACACACCATCTACTCATCCGCAGATCGCAATTTCGACCTGAACCAGAGAACGATCAATCTCTAATTCAGTACCCCCAGAGGTTTGGATTTGTTTTGGAAAACTAGAAGAGTTTGTGACCCCAACTGATTTAGCGCGTACAAGTTACTACGTTGTCTTCGATCGGTGGTAATCCAACTCACTGCATCTCGACCATGAATATAACACCCTACCAACTAGGCTATTCTGGCCTTATCTGCTTTTTGATTTTATGCAATAAAATTTTTTTGTTCTTTCATTATGTGAAAGATTTTACCGATTTTCTGATGTTATATAATATTATGTGCTACTTGGGGCTTAACTTCTGTGCTCTACTGGGAACCGTGTCTTTTAACGATCAGTCCACAGCGGGACTCTCGGGTTTATGAAAAATATGACTAATTCATTTCCATTTATCATATAACTTAATTTTTTTTAAAACCGTAGTAATGTCATTTTCGACCAATAGTGTGATGCGGCGACTTTGAAATTTAATTGCTTGAGTCATAAAGAAGATTATTATTGGTGATCGCAACACTCGAATACGCCATCTGGGGAGAGATCGGTTTCATGGCTTTAGCCCTTCTCCCTTCGCTCTCCTCCTTTTTTCAGTCGTATAGGAATGTACTACGATATTTTCCCTTTTCTTAATATTTTTCCTTTTTATTTAATAGAAAATATTTTTTTAAATTTCCGTGATACTTTTCTTTAGAACTATGTTTAGCGTAATTTTCAGTTCGATATAGTTTTCCAACTTAAAGATTTTAATCTATATGAAAATCAAGAGAGAAACTAACGTACTTCCTTCCTCTATGACTTTCCACACGCTAATGGGGAAAGCATGGGAAGTGTTGCCATAGGAAGAAAGTTCTGCTCTACGCCACCTGCAGCTCATTTCGATCGCCAATTATTATTATTATTATTTTTTAAATAAAAAGCAAATGAATAGTTTAACAAAGCTAGGCAGTTAAAACCTTTCACTGTGTCAAAAGTGTGTTTTTCTGTATGAAAATAATTATAAATTCGGTTAAAAAGAGTTTAATTTCTCTCTTCCATTAGCATACTCTCCGATATAAATAAACATTTTCTTGTTCATATTAAAGCTTAACATTATTTGTACGAGTGTAATAAACCTATTGTAATCGTGCTGGAAAAAGCTTATGCCAAGTGGGAATAAAAAAACTTTCTATTTTAGAGGTAGTTAAAAGTATTCATAGAATATCTATTATATCTTACTCCTACCATATGAAAGAATTTGCACACTGAAGGTGAATTATCTAAACATTTTACGTTGTTAGCAGAAAAGTAGTCTTGAATTTCCTTAATAATCATTTCTTTGTGTTGAAAAGAAGCTTCATTCATGCTGCCCATATATGATCCAGCATTTGCGTATAAAGAAAGTTAAATAAATTATTTTATTTTCGTTAGGTGTATACTGTGTTTATTCAAGAGTTTGTTCAAACGTATGTTTAACTAAAGAAAATGAGTTCTTGCACTCAAAAAAGTAGTTTCAATCTACTGTCTGCTGTTCATTCAGAAGATAAGGCTCACTTATGCAATGTGTGTGGTAAAACTTTGCCAAGGGTAAAACATTTGCTTGCCAAGCTCAATTAAACAAGCACTCTCTTCTCCATCGTAAAGAGAAGCCTTATTCATGCAAAGTATGCGATAAATCTTTCTCTTTAAAATCTTCTTTAAATCAGCACCATGTTGTTCATCAAGAGAAGTCTTATTCATGCACTACATGTGGCATATCATTTGCGAGGAAGATTAATTTAAATCAGCATCTTCTAGTTCATACTGGTGAGAAGCCTTATTCCTGCTCCGAATGTGATAGGTCTTTCTCATTAAAAGCTAACTTAAATCAACATTTTTTACTTCATATTGGGGTGAAGCCTTTTTCATGCAATGTATGTAAAAAGTCTTTCTCATTGAATTCTAATTTAAAAAAGCATCTTGTTGTTCATACTGCAGAGAAGCCTTATTCCTGCAGTTCATGTGATAAAAAATATAAATTGAAAACTCAATTACAACAGCATTATCTCGTTCATACCCTAGAAAAGCCTCATTCCTGCAGTGTATGTGATAAAGCATTTGCAATCAAAGCTCATTTAAATCGGCACTATATTATTCATACTGGTGAAAAACCTTATTCATGCAGTGTATGTGATAAAACATTTGCACGTAAAACTCATTTAGATCGACACAAAACTGTTCATACTGGTGAAAAACTTTATTCATGCATTGAATGTGATAAAACATTTTCACAGAAAGTTCATTTAAATCGGCACTGTGTTGTTCATACTGGTGAGAAGCTTTATTCATGCAGCATATGTAATAAGTCTTTCTCACGAAAAGCTACTTTAAATCGTCATCATGTTGTTCATACTGGAGAAAAGCCTTATTCATGCGATGTGTGTGATGAAAAATTTACATGGAAAGGTCAATTGAATACTCATTATCTAGTTCATGCAGAAGAGAAGCCTTTATCATGAAGCGTATGTGATAAGCCTTTCTCATTAAAAAGTTAGTTTAAATCTGCACTATGTTGTTCATACTTTAGAGAAGCTTTATACAGGCAGTGTATGTAGTAAGTCTTTCTCACGAAAAGTTACTTTAAATCGTCATCTTGTTGTTCATACTGGAGAAAAGCTTTATACATGCATTGTATGTGATAAGTCTTTCTCGCGGAAAGCTAATTTAAATCGTTATCTTGTTGTTCATACTGGAGAAAAGATTATTCATGAGATGTATGTGATAAGTCTTACTCATTAAAAAGTTAATTTAAATCTGCACTATATTGTTCAGATGGGAAAAAAACTTATTCATGTAAAATATGTAATAAAACATTTCTACATAAAATCTATTAATTGAACATTATCTTGTATGTTCTTGAAAAAAACTATATTCATATAGTTTACCTGTGATAAAAAATTTTTACGGAAAAATTATTTAAATAAACATTTATTTTTATTAAACAGTTGAGAAACCTTGTATATGCAGTGTGAAACTCATTTAAATAAACTGTGGGAACTCATTTAAATAAACACCATCTTGTTTATAGTATAAATAAATCTTACTCTTAAAGTGATTGTGAAGACCTATTTTTCAACAGAACCATCTTGTTTAAATGATTAAAAATATATATATCTGATGGATACAATTTTGCATTTTGTACAAAAAAATTTTTTTAGTTGAGCATTATGTATAAATTTTTATTTATCCTAAACTTTATTGAGTGTTATTAACAATCAGCTTACATTCTTTTTTTTACTTAAAAAAGTAATTTGAAACATTTATAACTGAGTTGATTGATTTAAACCAGTTAATTTTTTTTTTTAAATCATTGAGTAAACGCGCCATTTGAATTTAAAAAAAAAAATATTATCACTGTGTCATATATTTTCCCCCAATTTTAATTTTCCGCTATTTTTAAGAATAGTGAAGACATCAATAAAATGTAAATAATTCAATTGGAGTAGACATTTTCTGTTAAGAAATTTTCAAACTATACTAGTTTCTTTTTTAACTTGAAAAGGTTATTACCAAAATCGACTTGGAGAGATTTCAGTTTCGTGATCTATGGCAGAATAATCGCCAAGTTTTGGCAACCTTCGGGTAGAAGTTAAAAAACGTCATAGAAAGGGATCAACTTGAAGGGTATAACTCAATCCCCAGGCAATCTTATATACATGTTTTTGTTTTTTTTTTAATCCGGTTTAAAATCAATTTGGCGATTGTTGTTGGCGTGACAGATCACGATACGAAAATATACAATTCAACTTTTTGTAAATGCATAATTATTCCACTTCAGATTAATCATATGTTTTTATTATGGGTTGAAGTTGCAAATTCTGTAACTAAAATAAAACAAACTATCATAACTTGTCTTCAACTACATGATTTGTTCATCATCGGCCAAAGGTGTGTATGTGCACCATTTTATTCCTTATGTAAAGTATTTTTTTTGCATGCATGAAACTTTTTTTGTGTCTTAATTGATGCAGTTTAAGCATATTTCAATGAGAATAATACAAAATTTTTATACTTAGCCAGTTATTGTTTGATTTTAAAAAAATCATTTATTAATTTTTTTTTATTAAAAAGAATTATTTAAACTTTGCAAAACATTTGATAAATACAATCTTAATGCACAAAACATTTAGCTAATTACATTTTATAATTACATCAATATTATTTCACATTATTAAAATTTGTTCAGCCACTGATAAAAAAGAAAAGTACAGACCAAACAGTAGTTGTAATTAAACTTACAAACTGTATATTTATCAGAAAAAAAACTATTTTTTACTTATTTTTTTTTTACAAAATTTCTGAACTTATTTGCTGGCATTTGACTGAAACATCCTTTTGTTTATGCTAATTGTCTAGAATTATTAAGTAAAACATTATGAATAAAGTTTATATTTAATTAAATTTTTTTAGTTTTCATTAAATAGGTAATCAAAGTAATTTTAAGATTAAACATTTTAAAGTTTTAGTAAGAAGGACATGTAACCAAAGTTTCCTGGCATTATAAATGTAATTGAACCACCTCTTTATGCATCATCTATTCAGTAGTAATTACTTGCATACCTTTTTCTAATATTCATTCAGAACAGACAGGATTATATAACTTCGTCCATCTACAATATCTTTAAATTTGTTATTAAAATAATTTAAAATTAATCTTGAGAATTTGTTTTCTAAATTGTTGAAATTGTTCTTAAATATTGTCCGAAATCCAATTTTCGTAATTGAATGTTAGAAGAGGTAATTGTCTTGATTTAGCTTTCCCTTCATTTTTAAGATATTAAAATTGTTTAGTTAAATAGGTTTAAGATATCACTATTCAGGACCTTTATTATACAATTTATAATTATGAAGATGAGCTAAAATTATTTTGATTTTTTTTTTTTTATTGANCCAAATACAGTAGGGAACCGATTATCCGGAACAATCGGGACCATCGCTATTCCGGATAACTGATTTTTCCGGTTTTCTGAATCGCTACAAAAAGCCATTTTTTTATTGTTAATCCCAATAAAAAAAATAATATTTGGAAATAATCTTAAAAAGAAGAAAAAACGATGAAGTAATACACCAATGATTATTTTCAAAATGATGGTAAGGTAAACATCTTTCAAAAAAAATGAAAAATTCTAAAATCTTATGAAGAAAAAAAAAATTTTTTTTTTTAAATGGCGGGAAAATTTATCGAAATTCGTTCCGGTTTTTTGGTTTTCCGGATAACGGGTTCCGTACTGTATATCCATATTCATATATAGCGGTTTTAGTATATATCCATTAAAGAAGATGATATGAAACCATTTACTATCATTATTTAAGCAATACTTTTGTCAATCAATAATTGTCTGATGATTTTTTAGGGCCTCTTAAATAGGTAAATCTAAAGTTTTATACGTTGCAAAAATAAAAAATTATGTTTCATTAGCCTTTATTTAAACCAATTTTTTTTTTTTTAAGAACTGTACATTTTCTAGTATTATTTAATTAAATTCCAAATAATAAATATATTATGTATGACAAACAAAATGGTTTCAGTTGGACTACAATAAAAATGTTCGATAGAAATGATACAGTTAGGTTGTTAAAATGGCAGTAAATCTACAAACTTAAACCTGATCCGAAGACGATAATGAAGTACTTGTTCACCATACGGTATTTCAAGTTAGGGGAGAAATGGTGGTAATAATCACCTGGCTTTCTGTTGACTTCTTCAGTTTCTTAAACCTTCAAGGACATTACTTTCAATTTTACTTTTTATATAGTTGATATATATATATATATTTATTCATAAAAAATGAGAGAAAAAACTAAAATTAAATTCTAATTATAAAACATTTAAACTGATAATGCATTCTGAAAAGTGAAAATTTATAAAATTACTATTTAACTGAAGCAATTTAATTAATTTTGTATTTACTTTTAAGAAGAAGCAAAGAGTAACTTGAATCTGCAATTGCTAGAACACGTTTAGAATTTGAAGAACAATTAAAAGTGTTAAATGGATGCTTTCTTTAAAAGCAATATGCAGTAAGAAACTTAAGGAGTGTCTGTTATTTCCCTTCTTATAACAATGCAATTGTTAATTTTACTGACAAATCAGGAGCCATCTTCTCCCTATTTTATTTTGTTAGAGATTTAGTGTTAATTACTTTTTGTGAATAGAAAAATTCTGCATCATCATTTTTCGTGAAAATTAGTTTGTTTCGTTGAAAATTAGATTGAAAGAAAGCATTATATTGAAAAATATCTAAATATAATATTATTGGACGATGTGTTTTTGTAAGCTTAGGCGGGCAGCAGTAGGAATACGGAAGATGGGGTAAATTTGTTTCCCATAGGGATTGTAGCAAGCACCTTAGCGACTCCCACAATCTTCTCAAATAGATTCAACGCTATTTTCGCCTCCCGTAAAATCTTGCCTCCTCTTTGCAGGAGATTTTGTTTCTCTCAAAATGAGCGACGATCTAGAATTGAATTAACAATATAGGTCGTGAAAGTAATGTTAGGAATATAAATGTAATAAACAATATTTCTTTTGAATAAATTTATTTAATTATTTTTCACTGAGAATTTGAAGTTTAAATAGGATTGGTACTATTTATGTATGTGTCTCAAGTTTCTAAAACGAAAATCCATTTTTTTTTTTTTTTGAGGTTATGTGCAAAAAAAATATTAACTACAATGTTAATCGAATAATAAATTATTAATACTTTTATATAAGTCTTAAACAAAATCCATTAGTAGGAGAGAGTGGAAATATTCTTTTCTACATTAGATAATTTAATTTGAGGTATAAAATTCTCTGTAACTTTCTCCTGGATAATATTCTAGAGAATATTGTTCTAGAAGTTACTTACAATAAAGCCATACAAGGAATTTATTTTACATAATTTTAAAAATAAATATTATTTATCAAATAAAAATAAATTCGTAGGATACTGAATGAAAACTTCAAAAAATGCTCACTAGAACAATTTTAAGTGCACAAAATTGTTCAAAATTAATATTACAGGCATAAATTATGCTGTCAAAAATTAGTTTTCAAAGCTGATTATTTACATTACAGAATAGGCGCTCTTTTTTAGTTCTAATTTTTTTTTTTTTTTTTCAATTTTAAAAGTTATTTTTTAATGAATTTTGCTAATTTTTTTAAAAATATTTTTAATTGATAGTATTTGGTGATTAGTATCTATGAAGACTTATTTCGTGCTAATTATGATGTGCAATTTTCATAGTAAATTAATTTTATTGAATACAAACTTTGAAGAATAATTCTGTGAATTCAAAATTGTTCTTAAAAGACTGATAAGAAATATGACTAATCAGTTTCAAGAATAGATAAGCTTTTTTTTTTTAAAAAAAAAGTTAAAAACTGTTTATTTTCAGATTTTTAAATGTTATTTTCTTCTTAAAAATGTTCAAAATAATTTTTAAACATTTTAATTTAATTAAAGAAAATAGCTTTTCATCATTTGAGTGAAAAATATCAGTTAATATTTTCCAGTTATTTAGACTTAGTTAATATTTTCTATATCGCTAGGCATATATAATAACATCGTTGCAGAGTGGAAGGATGGTACAAAGTTTATTAATTACACAGGCCTGTGATGAAAAAAATATAAGGGGTCTGATAGCTGAACTTAATGTATTTTTTGGTGTTGAAATGGAAAATAATAATCAAAAATTTCTATCATGTCACTTTTTTTTGAAAAATTCAATTTTACTGGAATTTTTATGAGCATTTACCATAAAAAAAAAATTTCGTTTTTTAATTTCTTCTCTTCTTGACTGACCAGCATTCTACTTTGGTTAGGTTAAATCTACAAAAGGACCCCTCTATCACTACTTCCTGTCATCGTCCCTCACTCTGTTACAATCTCTCTCTACCAATAGTGACGCGAGAATCCTTGTCTAGTTTCGCTGACCTCTCAGAAACACTAACAAGCCTATTAGGGAGTCATTTTAAAGTCTGCTTTTTTCTGTGCATTTCGTGAAACAAGGCTTCGGGTTCGAGACATTGTGAAAATTTCCCAGATGACTTTTGTTATATATGCGCCTCCAGACTGAAAGAAACTTGGGCTATTGTTTTGATGTTCCATGGTTTGATGAGCAAATTTAGTGTCATCTAAGATAAAGACGAGAGGAGGCTGTTTATAGATTCCTCTAAAAGAACCCTCGAGGCTGTTCTTCTTCATCATGGGAGCCAGTATGCATCTGTACCTGTTGGACGCTCAGTACACTTAAAAGAATGCTACGAAAATCTGGCCCTCGTCCTGTACATAAATAAAATATATCGACCACAATTGGAACATTTGCGGTGATTTGAAAGTTATCTCCATGCTTCTTGGTTAACAAGGTGGATTTACAAAGTACCCAAGTTTCATTTGTGAGTGGGACAGCCGTGACAAGACTCAATATTGGGTCTCGCCAGTTAACACAAATAGCGGAATCTACGCCTTCGTTGAGGAGGCGATTACAATTCCTCAATGTGCAATCCTTTTTTTAGTATACCCCTGAAAAACCTTTGGTCGAGATTCAAGAGTAAAGCTGGAGGTTTTTCACCTCATTTTTGCTTCCTCAGTGTGCGGCTGGCCGTAGGCGTAAAAATCAGTCAGAAATTATAACCTGTAAGCCTTATGATCAATTTTAACCCCTAAGGCCATCCATTGTTTTACAATACTCTTTTCGGCTGGATACGACTGGCATCGGCAGGAGTTTTACACGAGTTCCAATACAAACATTATTAATTAGTCATTGTTAACTTTTAGATTTTTCAGCTCAACAATATACTTACATTACATTAGGGACTGTTCGCCTTGCATGCGATTCACGTGTCTTTAATGGAGCGCTTCGCGTTTCCTTGAAGAACTATTCTCACTGAATGCAAACGAGAACCTGATTGGTGAAATTTTCTCGAGTAAATATTTTCATTCAGTCTAATTCGGATTCGAAAAATCGTATCCAGTCAAGATGGTATTTCGCATCTTTTGAAGGAGCATGATGTCGCAAACCATTTGCAATTCGTTGAAGGAATAATGCATTGCGGGCGTAAAAGGGTTTCAGACAGAGAATTGCATTGCTGAATGCATTTACCAACCAAAACCCCGCTAATCTCATCTAGTTCGCGCTCGCTGATGTGAATTTTCATAAGCGATTATTTTTCACCAGCAGGGTGAATGTTTTGGTTGTCGCCTTCATTTTTCCCTTGGCGGTGGTCGGACTTCGGAGAATCGCATGCAGTGTAGGCCTTCCATGCAACAGACTTGCTTAAGAAGCGCGAATCTGATTAATATTCTACGCAGATGTATCAAATTTATTGCTGCAAAACTTTATCATAATTTTGAACCACATATCTTTAAATTATATCTGGCAATCATGCTAAACCTGTCATCTTCTTTTTTCTTGCTCTCGTTTGTATGCTGTCGAGCTTTCCATGATTTAGACTTTTTCAAAGTTTTGAGTTTATAAAGTTGAAAAAATAGGCTTTCTTAAATGTGCAAAATGTATTACTTACGAACGCAAAAAACGAAAGCATTTCTTCCAGCTGAAAGAACGACCCAGTTCTAGTTCTGTTAATCGTAAATGGGAATATTATATGGAAATAATGAGATATCAACAAAAACTGCCTAGTTCTTTAAAATATCTTTTATGTCTTTATTTTTTTTTTCGTTTTTAAATCTTAATTCTTTTCATAGAGAAAGATATAAGATCTTGAAGATTGTTTTAATTTGTAGTTTTGTTTCAATGTTGTGAAGAACTTGCACAGAAGCTTTATTTTTTATTCTATTCTGCTGGTGATAGATAAGTTGTTCAACATATTTTAGGAATTATTAATGTATGTTGCTATTAAATAAGTATTACACTATGAAAGAAAGTTTTAATATGATGAATATTCTCTTTTTTCCTTCTTTTGTTTTCCCAATTCTTATAAAATTAAATTTATTTAGGGAGTTTTTGTAAACGAATGTTCAATATTGTTTTGTTAGTTTTGAAATTAATTTACCTTAATTTTCAAAAAGGATTCGAATTGTAGCTTGTGCATAGTAGTATTTCAGAAATATGTTGCCACCGTTTCATATATATGTTTATAAAATCCCTATGAAAATAAACTTTTGATTTCCTGTCAATGTTTCTAAGCATATTTCAGGTTAAGCAATTCATTTTTCGTGGAAAAAATCCATGTTTCTTGAACTTAACTGCATATTCAGCTGAAAATTTAGAATTCGATTAGTTATTTAAATGAATAATTTTATTTAATTCAATCTATGGTCTTTTGGATTTTCTAATACCTCTATTCACAGTAATCTTTTTCTAATAATGTAAATAAACCTTTTTGAATTACTTTCAATTACCAAATGACTATAATAAAAAATTACTGTAATTTTTTGTAATTGTAACTGTTAAAGTTCGTCTGCTTCCCACCTTCAAATTGTGGTTATTTTGTAAATTCTTACTGGCGGGAAATTAAAATGATAGTATATTTCTCTTATTTTAGAATTTTAAATGTTCTTTATGGTGAAATTCTGGAATAGTCCACCCCTTAGCAACTATTTGACTCTCGCCAAGTTGGTGATTATTACTTGGATCAACATTGTTTTTTTATTATAAAAAAAAAAACAATTTAAATGATTACAACTTTAATAAAATATTTTTATTGTAATAAAATAAGAAATAATTTACCTTAATTGTGATCGCTCATATTTTGACACTCCTAACGTTCAGACAAACATCATGCGCAACCACACTGAATTTATGCTTTTGACATTTCCTTTCAAAACCATCCACCGTATACTTTCGTTCAATCAAACTCATATGCTCTCCAAATTTAGGGCATGTGTACGGTTTCAAAAGTAAATTTTGATTCATACACCATTCAATCACCGCTCTCTTACCTCTTGTATTCGATAAAGTAAAAATTCACTCGTCCATTTGCTCACCATTTTGGACCGGTGCTGCTTAAAAATGTAAAAATTTAAATCACTTAAATTGATGTTGAAAATACACCATTCAATCATCGCTTTCTTACCTCTTGCATTCAATAAACTTAAAAATTCACTCATCTTTTTTCAACCGGTTCTGCACAAAAAAGAATTTTAAAAAAATAAGTAACAATGGTAATCCAGGAAGATATCAGAAGCATGAAAGGCTAAAAAATAAACCTTTTTACCTTTTTTTCTAAACAAGATGGTGGTAAACATATCACACAGTGGTAAACATATCAATTAACCAATCGGGTATAAAAAATTTTTTGCAGTGGGCTCTCAAAATTTTAGGCCTAAAATAGTTGGTCGAACAGTTGGTAGGTGATTCTGAACAGCTGACGTTCAAAATAGACGCTCCGTAAGGTTGCACCATGTCTTCCCGAATCCTAGTTTGGCGAGATTTCATAAAATCGCCATGGGGTGGACTGTTATAGATTACTTAATGAATGAACAACTTTATTCATAAAATTATTCATGTTATCTTTAACACAACAGAAAATATTACTCTTTTTATTAGACATTAAGCTGATATGTATAAGGAATAAAATAAGCTAAAATGCTCTTAAATTTACATTTTAATTTTTTTTACTAGAAATTTATGTCTAACGTTATATATATACATATTTTACTTTATTCAGGTCAAAAGTTTTCCCAGTGCTGCTTTTCTGTTGAACTTATTCATGCACTTGGACATATTCTCCACTCTGTGCAATGGATCGCAAAAGTAATTCTTTAAATGCTTATTTGCTCCTTTTCCTTTCACTACAAAAATAAGTAAATAAATAAAAAAAAAAACTTTTAGGCTTTAGGCAAAAAAATCCTAAAAGCATGAGCTAGGATCCAAAATATTTAATGAATTTTAAAATTATAAAATTTTAAAAATATTTGATAACTAGGAAAAGAATAGAAAAAAAAATAAGAGAAAGAATAGATTGGAAACGAATTCTAAATTCTTACTTATTCACTTTGAAAAATTCTCAATTTTTTAAAAAATTATTTATTTAATTAATATTTTGAAATTAATCTAAAAGCCAGTTAGTCTAACTTTTTTGTACCAAAACTATTTAATTCTTATTGAGAAGGTATAGAATTTTATGTTTTTACTTACAGGAAAAAGAAAAAGGAAAACCTTGCCTTTTTTTTAAAAAAAAATTTTTTTATGTCTATTTTAAAGACTGATCACTTTTCTACTATTTTAGAGTCTCTGCCTTTCAACTTCGCTTTTTAATTTTATTTTTAAATTTACTACCCAATTCTTGCTGACTAATATTAATGCAGAAATCTTTCATAATTGCAAATTTTAATTAGATGATTTAATTTGTCTCATGATCCAACCTATGTTTATTGTTGCAGTTTTAGTTAATAATTTGGAAACTTCATATTTATATTAATACATATTTCTTTTTCCAGAAAATATGTGACTGAACCGAAGTTTTGACATTAAGAAATATTTTCACTTGCCACTTGTTGGAACTGATTTACTGCTTACAAATGTTAATCTACTGCAAGTTTGCCTGATTATTTTTAAAATTATAAACTATTTGATTATCTGCAGTAAAATGGACACACGAAGAAATGCTTGTAAAACTCAGTAAACTGGAAAGCTTTATACTTTATTAAGGATTTTTTTAGTTAAAAACCGGGATTTTTCATATTTTCAATTTTAAAATTTCTACTTGATTCGTTTAAAAAAACCAAATAATTTACCTTTTTTTTAAAACTTTCGAACTGCAATATCGCCATAAAATCACTAATTTATCTGACTTAACATCAAGTTTTTACATATTTCTTTTGGCCTAATTATGATGACTTCACCAATTCGCAGTGAGGGTGATAGGTATAACACGCCATACCCTAGAAATGCAAAACGCCAAAGCTCTCTTTTTCACAGTGGTGTTCTATTGCTTGAGGATGCAGAGAGAGCTCCTGAATATCTTCGCATTACAATAGACTCTGATCCAGATGAGCCAGATGAAATGGAAGTAAATAGATCTGATTCGGAGGAAGATGTAGTTGTGCTTGGAGAGAAACGTCCTACCTATGAAGAGATAACTCTGGAGGAGGTAAGTTTACTATATATTGCATATATTTTTACTATATATTGCATATATTTTTACTATATATATTAGACTGGTCCAAAAAAAACTTTTTTTAAAATTTTGCAGGTCTTAACCCTGAATATTTGTACACATGACAAAAGAAGCCCCGATGCAAAATTTCAACTCATTTGAAGTACATTTAGAGGTAGCTCAAAGACTTTGAAGTTTGGGATTTTGCATTTCATATAAATAAATGACGAAAAAAACATTGACACTATGCCTTTATTTGTATTTTCCCATCAAAAACCATGAATTGTACACTCATATATACATATTTCTTATTTATATCATAAAATATAAGGTAGCGAGCCAACACAATATTTATTAGTAAGCATATATGAAGAAAATCTTAATAAAAAATCATACATTTTGAACAAGTGTGGTTTTTTAGTGTCCTTAACTTTCTTTCTGTATGATTCCACAACTTGAAGTAAGAATTGTTTTTGTTCTTCATCTGTAGTTATCAGTTCATTGTAGTCTGTAATGGGCACTACGCCCCTCTCTGCGCAATCATTTACTGTCTTTAAACATTTCACTTTCTCTTCCCCATCATGGTAAGAATCAAATCTCTTCCATTCCGATGGGGACGAATGTAAGAAATTGCCTCGTATATTCAATGACTTAAATATCATCCAAGATTTTTCATTAACAAAATCATGCAATGATTTTTCATTAACATTTCCGATTTCTTTTTCCTTTTATCGTTTAGAAGCATTGGTTACATCTTCTGTATGTTTATCTATTTTAAACAACTTATCAACCATTAAAACCTTATCTTCTGTGCTTACATGACAGCTGAATAGGCTGAGCATGACTAAGTCTCCGTTTAAGTACCACAGATGCCTCTTCAACCCATTGCTTGCAGCTTTTGAGATTTCTTTGCATTCATTTAACACCAAATTTAAATGTTTCAAAAATTCTAAGTCTATGAAAGGTGCATCAGCTGCGTTAGAGCAGCGAAACCAGGCTTCCACAAGTGTGTGCTAAAATCATTAAATCGTTTCAACCCTTTAGCCTCTTTTGGTGTGAGCTTGAACTGTTCACGAAACATGTATATTTTTAAACAGTAAATAACTTTGGCCATCCACCGTGCATGATGGAATGCTCCTGGTGCTGCAAAATGTACTCCACGTGGAGGCACCTGTCCAAGATAAATCAAAGTCAGTTCTAAAAACTCTCTGTAGTCATTTCTTGCCAATGATTTTGTTTCAAACGTAAGATTATGTTTGGCAAATTTAATAGCTTCCTCTTTTAATACTTTCCAACTTTCTGAAGGTACTATTGTTTCTTCTGGAAGAAGATTTGTCTGTAAAATTCCAGTGACTTTGGAATCTCTTAAACATGAGAACACAAGGTGCATTAGAATGTCCAAATACTGCAGAAAACACTTCACCAATAATGATTTCATAAATATGATGCCTGCAAGCCAAACTGAAGGGCTGTTTTCCAATCTTCTGTTCCAATAATGTACACGCTCCTGTGTGAAGACCAGTGTTACAAGATGTAGTGTCAAAGCACATGCCTTGAATTTTATCTATCTATGATCTCCCAATCATTAAGTGTATCAAATACTGCTTTTGCAATTGCCTTGCCTGTACCAGCTGGCAGTTTTGGCACACCAAGTAATTTCTCCACATCATTTCCTGTGACAAGAATAGGAAGGCTGTAGACTTCCTCCATTTCTCCAGAAATACTAGCCATGAGTTTCCCATCCCAGTGGACGACAAGCGGACCATCAGGTTTGAAGTTATGCTTCAAATCCTTCGCTAACTGGGCTCGAAATTTTGTTCTGTGTCTGCGAAGTGTACTTCGTGAAACTGTACTTTCACTTACATTTATTCCAACTGTTTGGGCTATTGCTGCAATTAAAAATGTAGCACTGCGATCCGAGATTTTTGTTCGATCCAATGCAGACATCAAATTAGGTGAAAGAAGCTTGCTTTTTCCCCCCTTTGCTGTCTTTTCTGAAGTACTGGGATATTGAAAAGCATCATCATCAGTATCACTTTCTGAGGATGAGCTAGTTGAACCACAGTCTTCTTTAATTTCAGCACTTGATGAAGGATAACATACAGTTTTGTTTTTATTCATATCAACGCTATTAGATGGTAGTGTCTCATATCTTTTAGATGAGCGTTTCTCTTTCTTCTCAAGTTTTCTGTCGACTGACAACATACAGCCTTCAAATCCATCTCGCTGTTTAAGCAAAAACTTCTTATGCTCTTCAATTTTTATCATCTGTAAAAGCACCGACATGAGCGATATCCCGCAACATCTTGCATTCTTTGATAAACTTCTGTTCATTGTCTTCTTGAGTATTCGTACGCCGATTTCTGTTCTTATTCAATTTTTGGTACCGCTTAGCTAATTTTTCTAACTTTTGTACTGCATTCTGCTTTTCGGTTGTAGGAATTCTAGCCTTATTCCAGAAGGTCAACACACTAGCAACAGTGTGACTTGCACTTTCATGTATTGATTTTGTCTCATGGTGAAAGAAGAAGTTTCTCAGTACTTCATTAATGGAAGGTAGTTTACATCCTTTTATTTCACTTATGGGAAAACCAAGTAACCAAATTTCAGAGTCTTTTCTAAATCTAATTTTGTTTGTTGACATGACCCAAATGAAGTAATTTGGTGTTGCCAAAACAAGAAGCAAAATGTTAACAATATAATAATTATATTTATAATTATTATATTTATCATAATATATGACCATTGTTTATGAAAATAAGTAAATAAGTAATAAATAGTGATAATATGGAAATTATTTTTTTAAGATTTCAAAGTAAAAACTTCAAAGCCTTTGAGCTACCTCTAAATGTACTTGAAATAAGCTGAAATTTTGCATGGGGGCTTCTTTAGTCATGTGTACAAGTATTTAGGGTTAAGACCTGCAAATTTTAAAAAAAAGTTTTTTTTAGACCAGTCTAATATATATGCAATAAAATAATATAATGAACTGTAGATTTAGTGATGAACCTCGAGTAACTGTAGATTTAGTGATGAAATTTTCCTGTACTATAACCAGGGTATCTGCGCACCTGGGAAGTCATGGAACGTCATGAATTTTAACAAAATTTGTCATAAANCTTGTAATATAATGAACTGTAGATTGAGTGAATAACTGTAGATTTAGTGATGAACCTCGAGTAACTGTAGATTTAGTGATGAAATTTTCCTGTACTATAACCAGGGTATCTGCGCACCTGGGAAGTCATGGAACGTCATGAATTTTAACAAAATTTGTCATAAAATGTCATGAAAAGTCACACATTTAGGTAGCCAAAAAATCTTATTTTTAAAGTAAAATTTCTCCCCCCCCCCATCATCAATCATCTTTTAAACTTCTGTGATTTCGGAATTTTTTTTATTATTTATTTATTTTTTATTTTATCAATTTAAAATTCTAGCTGAAGCAAGCCAATCATTGGCAAACTGTTTTTATTCTGAAATGAGACCAGAAAAATCAGGAGTATTTCTTTCCTTTCTGATAAAGAAGAAAAGTATCTTTAAAATATTTTTTTTTCTTTCCAATGACAGGCACTGAATTTGAATCTTTGCCTATACTATGCAAGAATTGTTGCTCATTTCGCGTTACCCAGTGGGCACCTGTGAACCAAAGTCACGGAGGCGAGTAACATTGCCCACGCCACACTGCCACAAACCCGTTTATTGGGTGGGCCACATTCACACACACAACAGAGGACAGCACAAAGAGAGAGAGAGAGAGAAACATCCAGGCCCAAAGCGGGATTCGAACCCGCTACCTATGGCTTCGCAGTCAGGCACGCTAACCGCTCGGCCACCAGGCCGGCACTTTAGAATATAATTCTGCAGAANCCGCAGCCTATGGCTTCGCAGTCAGGCGCGCTCGGCCACCAGGCCGGCACTTTAGAATATAATTCTGCAGAAAAAAAGGAGACAAAATTATTTGCTTTTGTATTTTTTTCGGCTATTTTATTACTTTAACTCTTTCATTACTCTGTTTTTTTAATTTTGAAATCTATAAATATGAAGATGCAGAGTATAACACTTTTTGTTATACCTATAATTTCAATCGATGTTTTTATAATGCTTTTTTAAATTTATTGTTGTATTTTTTTTCCAGAGAAAATAGTAACTTCGTTAAATCATAAATTTTTTTTTTTAATTAGTCTAGAAAAGTCATGAATTTGGAAATCTAAAATGTAGCAGATACCTTGTGTAACTCAATCTTCAATTCCGTGGATCAATTCCATCATAAAATTCCCCCCACCCGAATTGTTTTTTTTTTGTCTGAAAAAGAGCATGAATACAAGTTGTGATGCCTGTTATGTTCAATAAACACACAGTTTAAATTAAATACAACTTTATTAATAGTCAAGAATAATTATATGAAACATGTTAAACCTCGTGGTTCCGTTCAACAACAAACGCTGACGTCACCCCCGACCTGTTGCCATCCTCCTAAGGTGTATACTATAATCGATTACGATTATATGACACATCCCCTGTTTCAGATAAATTGCATTAACAATAGTCACATGAAACATCCTTTGTTTTGAATAAATAGTGGTAAGAATCATAATACAACTCATAATCAGCTAATCGTGTGCAACATTTCTCCCACACCTTTTTTTTTTTTTTTTTTTTTTTTTTTTTTTTTTTTTTTTTTTTNAGAAAAGTCATGAATTTGGAAATCTAAAATGTAGCAGATACCTTGTGTAACTCAATCTTCAATTCCGTGGATCAATTCCATCATAAAATTCCCCCCACCCGAATTTTTTTTTTTTTGTCTGAAAAAGAGCATGAATACAAGTTGTGATGCCTTATTAAAAAATCGTATGAATACGAATTCAAATATATAATTTTAAAGTCACTTGAACACAATTCTTACTAGTGGCTTTTAAATTGTGTGAAGATGAAACCACATATTTGATAAAAAAAATCGTGAAAGTATGAAACATGGTGCGAAATCTTAAATAGCATAAATAGGAATTGCGGTGTGTCATTTTAAATGCAATTTAAAACTGCAATTGTATTGATCAAAAAAGGTGTAAAAACTTAATCCTTCCCCCCCCTCCTCAGGAATTCAAAAAGGCAAATCTTCTTTGAAGAGGTAGATTTTTCTTTTTTAGTTATAGTAAAAATTTTTCTGTGAATGGCGTTTGCATGTTCAGGTATATTATACTGGTTTGCATGACAGTTTGACTTAGCTATTCAAAAAAATATAATTTTTTTAGTACTATACTCTCTGTTTTTTTTTCTTTCATAAGATAAATTTTTTTCTTGAGTTTTAGTACAAAAAAATTTATTTTGCTAAAATTTTAAAAATGGTACCGGACAAGACATTTGTCTGCTATTCATGGAGTTGACTAGTGGTTTGAAAGCCTAATCTTAAGTATAGTTATTAACTTTTGCAGATTTTAATGTGTTTATGAAATCAGAAATCTCTTAGTATTTATATAGTTTTGTTAAAAAGGGGATTTGAATTCCTGACCTTCGAAATATGTAGGGTTGCTGCAATTTGAAAAACTTGGTCTCAATAGTTTAGGCAGTAGAGTGATTGAAAGTTTAGATCCCTTAATGCTAATTTCACTTTTAGGTTATTTTGCTACATCTCAAGAAATTTTTATAAGCAGAATGAAAACTTGTTCATTGAAGGTTAATTCCATAGAATTTTTTTTAATAGTTAATTGTTTTTACATAGTTTGTTTAATAATTGTCAAAAAATTTTTTTTAATTGTAAATAATAAATTTTTACTTCACTTTAAAGAGTGTAGTTATGTTTGAATGACATAAATACAAAATTTAAAAAGCTTATGAGAAACCAAATTTTAAGCAAAAAATGTTTTTTAAAAATTCTCAAAACCGTAATTTTGCTCAATTTTTTTTATTTTGCATTTAAAATTTCATTCTTTTAAAATGATGTTAAATATTGTTTGCTTTACAATTCAAAATTTTTTAGACTATTATGAAATAAATTAATTAAAAATAATAAATAATTATTAAAAACGTATTATTTTTTTCATGGAATTCTCTTTTTGTAAACAAACTTTATAAGCGTGTGCAAATTTTTTTCTATTCACTAAAAAAATACTTAAGACATGCGAAAATATACTAAAAGTAAAAATATTATTAATGGATCCAAACTTCCTCTCTTCACAATTAACTATTGTGTCACACATTTCCTGGATTATTACTTTGTTATTTATTATTAATGTTTCTGTGTTAGGTAGTTAGCTATTACTGATCATGTCTTGGGCATTTGCAAATGGGAGTGAAGTGAAAATGACAGACTTGCCTCCCCCCCAAAAATTTTAGTTGTAACTTTTTTTAAACTTTTTATTTTAAGTAATAACAGGGTTGCTAAGGTATCTAAAAACTTGTAAAGTCATGAAATTTGAAAATTAATTATCAATAAATAAGTAAATCAGGGAAAAGTTAGGGAATTTTATATATTTGAACTTAAATCTGAAAAATTGAGATAGTTTGATTTGGCAAATGCCAGGCATCCGATATTTACCCCACATTTCTCAAGTCGCACGTTTTCTCTGCAGGAGTTTCTTTTTTCTTATTTGTCAATAGTTGAAATATAATCTATATTGTTTTGTTAAATATTAATAACTATAAATGTCAAATATCAATTTTTTTTATTTCACTATTCATTTTGTCTATAAAGCTGACAGTGCGACATNTTGTTTAATAATTGTCAAATTTTTTTTTTTAATTGTAAATAATAAATTTTTACTTCACTTTAAAGAATGTAGTTATGTTTAAATGACATAAATACAAAATTTTTAAGAATTTTTTTACTTTAATAGCTTATGAGAAACCAAATTTTAAGCAAAAAACGTTTTTTAAAAATTCTCAAAACTGTAATTTTGCAAATTTTTTTTTTATTTTTCATTTAATTACATTCTTTTAAAATGATGTTTAATATACAACAACACAATTACAAATGCTTTACAATTCAAAAATGTTTAGACTATTATGAAATAAATTAATTAAAAATAATAAATAATTATTAAAAAGTTATTATTAATGATCATGTCTTGGATAGTTAGTTATTAATGAAAAGTTAGTTATTAATGATCATGTCTTGGGCATTTGCAAATGGGAGTGAGGTGAAAATGACACACTTGCCTCCCCTGAAAAATTTTAATTTGTTGTAACTTTTTTTAACTCTTTATTTTAAATAATAACAGGGTTGCTAAGCTATCTGAAAATTTGAAAAATCTGGTAAAGTCATGAAATTTGAAAATTAATTATCAAAAAGTAAATAAATAAGGGAAAAGTTAGGGAATTTTATATTTTTGAACTTAAATCTGAAAGAATGAGATAGTTTGATTTGGCAAATGCCAGGCATCTGATATTTGCCCCACATTTTCTGTGCAGGAGTTTCTTTTTTGTTATTTGTCAATAATTGAAATATAATCTATAATGCTATGTTAAATATTAATAACTGTAAACGTCAAATATTAATTTTTTTTGTATTTCAGTGTGACATTAGATTGTAATTTTTTTAAAAATATGTCTGTAAAACCTGGAAAAGTCAGGAAATTTTATTCTTCCATTGGACTAGCAACCCTGTAATTATAATTTATGCTTATTATGTGTCATATTAAATCTGCTCTGAATCATGAAAAGTTGCCTTTTTTAAAAATTTAATTCTATAATTAAATATCTTTTCCTTGATTAGAAGATATAAAAAAAATATTACCTAATACAAAGACAAGGAAACAAATTATTGGATTTTTATTTTCTGTTTCTTCTTTGTCCCCAATATATGTTCATTAATTATTTAAATGCATGATTTTTTTTTTTAAGAATAAAATTCCAGCATTGTGAAAACATTATTTTTTTACCAAAGTTTGTTCATTGAGTAGGTGTGTTAATTAATTATTGAAATTGTTTGTGAAAATTTTGTTACCCATGTATAATATTATTCTTTCAATCAAAAAATATATATAGATGATTTCTGAATGATTTTAATTAATATTTTCTATTGTTGCGTGCCCTAAGAAAATTTCTGTGGACAAACTTTTTCTTATTTACCTTTTATTTTTATTGATATTTAACTCTCATTATGCATGCAGGATGATGAAGGTGAAGTCAGAGAAAAAGTTGTTGAAAAAGAAAAACAAGAACCAAAGTCTGGAGAGGAACCATTATATGAATGCACTTTTTGTGATAAATCTTTTAGAGTAGAATCATTGCTGAAGTTCCATGTTAAAATGCACAATTCATCCAAACCAGTGATCTCTGAACCATCATCATCAATGACCAGTCCAGCAATTGATGATAGAAAAACAGTTGATAATACACCAAAGAAAAAGAGGTAAACTTTTATTTTGCTCAAAAAAACTAAACTCAGTGGCACAACAGCCCATAGAGGGCCAAGGCCTACTGGGCCCATCTCAGTTTTCTTGACCTTGGGCTCTGGGGTGCAGGAGCAGATGTTCCGGTCAGGTGGTCAGCCGAATGCGGAACCCCCAGTGTTTAGTTCCCAAGCATGCTTGGTATTCATTTATCGACCCACTGAAGGGATCAAAGGCTGAGTCAGCCTTGCCCGGCCCGAGGATTGAACCAGGGGCCTGTGGCACGACAGCGCAAAGCCACCGAGCGTTTATTTTGCTCAAGGATGAGTTTTTTCAGCTTTTTGGCTAAATTCTACTCTTTTTTTTATTTTATTTATTTATTTTTTTAATTTAATATAAAAAAACAAACAAATTTCTAATTTTTTAATAAAATTTTGCTTTTTTTCAAACTTCTGAAAAATTAATCTTTTTTTAGTACCCATTTTTGTATCCATGTAAACGCGATCCAAAATTGCATATTCTGGATTTGAAAATCATATCGATCGAATATTCACTTAATTTAAAATTATGCATTGTGATTAGTATTCACACGATTTAAAATTACATATCTCAATTTGTTTTAACACAATTTAATTTTATATATCTCGAGTCGTATCCACGCGATTTAAAATTACACCTCTCCATTCGTATTGATGCCAATTAAAATTACATGTCTGGATTCGTATTCACGCGATTTAAAATTATGCATCTGGAGTCGTATCCATGCTATTTAAAATTGCGCATCTCGATTTGTATTCACCCGATTTAAAAAATCTCTTATTGGAATACATAATCAAGCGATTTAAAAATCTCACATCAAGATCAAAATTCTCACTAAATAAAAAAATAATAATTTTTATACAGCATTGTTCGTAAGTCGATATTTTTATTATTTTTTATTAAAATATTGATAATGTTCTAGTAATATATATGCTTCTTAAATACACTTATTGCTCATTTTTCAGGAATTTTTTCTATTTAAAATTTGTTTTGTGCACTACATTTTTGAATTTCTATTTTCAGCCTTTTTGACTTTTTACCTAACTCCTCTCTGTTTGCTGGAACTTTAAATTAGTGTAAAGGCCATGTTTTAAAGACTCTGTCAACACATATAATAAATTTGTTTTTGCAAATAATATGTATAACTGTTGTGAGTTTGCAGTGGTTAATAATGATTGTTAGGTTAAGTTAAGCTTATCTACAGCCATAACCTTCTATGCTAACTCTGAAAATAGCTTAAAATATCAATATGAAGGACACAAAATTGTGAAAATAAAAAGTGTTTGTTGTCTAGTTTTTTTAAACATTTAAAACATTATTTCAGTGTCGCTTTATATAGGCTTCTGAAAATCTCTGATGATTGAGAATTGCATTTATTTTGTTAATTTTCATCCATGCTCTCGTTGTCTCGCCTAATTTGTTGAAAATATTGTAGATCTTTAACCTCAACAAACTAGCTGTTGCGAGAATGCTTTACTGTGTTACATACAAACCTCAAAATGTTCAGATTTTTATTATATTTTGGATTATATATATTTTTTTGATTATTTTCATAATTAATAATTATCATTATTTGTCTTTATCTCATCTTTGTCCATGTTGAATAANCTTTACTGTGTTATATACAAACCTCAAAATGTTCAGATTTTTATTATATTTTGGATTATATATATTTTTTTGATGATTTTCATACTTAATAATTATCATTAAAATTCAATAAAATCATTTTTTTTGGTGCTCTTTAACGTTGTTTCCCTTAGTTTAATAATTATCATTATTTGTCTTTATCTCATCTTTGTCCATGTTGAATAACAATTTGATTGAAAATATGTTGCATTACAGATTGAAAATATGCATTTGAAAACTTGCTACATACTTTGAATAACTTTTTAATTAGTACAATTTTTAAAAATCGCTGAAGTATATAGGTGGCATTTAAAAAGTCACTTTAATCAGTTGGGAAACTTTCTCCCTTCTCCGAAAATTGAGTTTATGACATTTGTGAAAATTGACAAACCAATAAAACCTATGCTACATGATTCAAAGAGTTGCGTTCAAATAATTTTCCTACCCTTTTGCTGTACTGTACCCTTTTGGAATTACTTTTGTGTCTGAAACATTTATTCGATACTTTAAACTTTATTTTTTATTTTATTTTATAACTGTTGCTGAACCGCCAACCTAATTTTGGGTTTACGAGTACTAATGTTCAACTCCTTAGCCTTGTAATTTTGAACCCAATCCAGAAGACAAGAGAACTCCTACATCAAGTATTGGTATGAAAATGTTGCCTTTGTGGAGGATTTTTTGAGGGAACTAACCCGCATTTGCGTTACATGGAGAGAAACACCACAAAAATCTCCCTTGGTTAGTCTGACGGTAAGGTCTGACTCCAACCCATGATCCGTCTACCACTGAGGATATTTGATGTCAGCACTATGGTCGGTGCAAGCCAGATGCAGAAGTCATATCAACCAGCCATCACTCAGATTTAAACTAGGTTCACCTCATTGGAAGCAGAATGCTCTATCCCCTGAGCCAATGGTGCTCAAAGTTTATTCTGAACAAATTTTAATTAAATAAATCTTATGAGCTTATCAGTTAATCAAACTAGTTCACCTATATTTTGGATGCCCTCTCTGGCTGTTTTTAAAGCATTTTTGTTTGGCTGATATTGTTCTTGTGATGGATTTTCACTACTTTTAGCCCACAGTTAAGCATTTGGTGTATTTCTAATGTATTCTAATCTTTTACAGTCATTGATGCTGTAATTATATATTCCCTTGATAAAGATAACAAGTATTTAAATAACAATTATATTTTGTCTTTCTTTGATTTTTGTAGGCATTCTGTTGATAATCAGGATGAAAGCCGACAGAAAGTGAATTCAAAGTATCTCCATAAGCACAGAACCCGCCAAGAAAAGCATAAAAGTCATAAGCATAAAAAGCACAAAAGGTCGATATCAACATAATCTTCAGTTTTATTGTATTTCAGTTTTCATAGTTCTTATCATATGTTCAGTAATTTATGTTCATTTCTGTGTATATTTTCAGTTTATTTTTTTTCCTGAACAGTGTAATATAAGGCAAACGAATTAAAAAACTATATATTATGTAGATAAATATTAATTTTGATTCCTTCTCCTTTAAGTTTAGAAATATTTTGAATCTTTTATGTTTTTAATTTTTTTTTCTTAAATTTTTTATTGGAGTTGCAAGCTATATTCCCATCAAAAAACAAAACTAGTTAGGGTTTATTTAAAAGTACATGGTGTAATTAGTTACACATTACTTTATTGCCATTTCAAAATCTATTTTCCTTGCAATATTATGAAAAATGCAATTTTTAGTTGCTATTCACGCTAGTTTAGTTTTTATAAATATTTCCAGGCATAGTTTATGTTGGCTGTTTCATATATTAAAGCCTAATTGCTTGTTAAGTTAATGACTTGCAATAATTTCTAATAGGTTTCGTCTAGAAGTAATACTTTATTTCTTTTTACTAATGATTCTAATAAAATATAATTAATTTACATCTAGTGACTAATGACTCATCTTTACCAGACTTGGTATGCACACTTTTTTTTTTGAAAAGGGCCCCAGGTAAAAAAAAAATAGGTCGTACAAAAAAATTGACTTTTGAAATGCTGAACTGTGTTTGGTTTTTATATCCATTGTTAATTTAATAACTTAATTATGTTTTGTATAATAAGAACACTATCTAATTATTTTAAAATAGAAAACAGTATAAATAAACTTTTAAAAAAATGGAAGTTTTGTTACACTAAGTTTTTTTTAAAAATAAAATTAAGTAATAACACATTTTAAATTCTCTCTGCCGAAAAACTAATAGATTTTATTAATTTTTTTGCTGTTTATGAATTATTTATATCGTTAACTTTTAAATAATTTCTGAAATTACATTTGTTTTTAACAAGTTTTGGGTTAAAAGAAATTGCAAATTGAATTTGTGCCTTTATATATTTTTTTAAACTTTAATGTTTTTTTTTTTCTTTTCAAGTTTATTAAAACTGGTGAAAATAATTGTTAAATTTCTTTTGCTATATATGTAGTTTTTTCCAATTATTTTTAATTGAAAGGCAGGTTCCTTCAAGTGTCGTATTTGGCCTCAAGGCATAGGTTGTGCACCTTCAACCTATGGATTTTGAAAAAGAGTTTTAGAGAAAAATTGAAAAAAAAAGGATAAAAATTACAAGGAAAAAAACAATTAAATGAAGTCAAATGGCATCTTAAAACTCTAATATATTTATCATATTTATTTTCAAATAAAATAGATAAATTCTCAGCTTTAAAATTATTGGTTGGCATTTACTTTAAAATACATCATTAATTTCACTGGAGAGTATATTTTTACATTCATTAGTCTTGTATATTCATTAAGAGAAATTTTATTTTTTTGTTATTTTACCAATGGAAAAATTGTAGTTTTTCTTTTAAGTTCATAGAATTTTTTTCAAGAGAATAACTATTTGATACATTCCTCTTTGCAGAAATATTTTTAAATTGTTTTATTGCTCAATTTGGAATGAAGTTAAAGATTATGTTTAACCTCTTACATTTTTTTCTCCAGATTTTTTATGTAAGTTAAATGTTATAGATGTTTATATTTATAGTAATTATTTTTGTTTTCTATTATCTAATTTTGTATTTAAAAATTTTGCAAAATTGTATAAAAAATTTTCGAAGCAGAAAAATATATTAATCTATGTCTACAAATTGATTATCAAATTTTTGAATTCATTCTTATAAAAATGATTGTATCAAAATCAAAATGATTTAAGATATTTACTTTAAAGGTTTTTGATTACTTTTATAAATTTAAAGTTTCATTTATTTCAAATGATTAGTATATCAAATTTAAACTGAAACTTTTTGTAATAAACTATTTTTATTTCATCTAAAAAAAAAATTATGGACAAACTCATTTATAAAATATATTGTTAATTTTATATGCTTATTTATTCCTACATTAAGCTTGCTGTAATTTGGTTCTAAAATATTTAAAACTTTTATAGTGTGCTCATATTTTTATGTTAATTGATGGAAATAGTTTATCTTATATTATCATTGTAATTCAAACAAAATAGGTCATTGGATAATGGATGTCTATTTTTTTTAAAATTCTACAAATTTGTTTATTAGTTGAAGAAAATTGTCAATTTTAAAATTAAATGTCTGCTATGTTTTATCTTTTAAATTTCTTGTAATGTGGTTTCAAACACTTGCTTGATATTTTTGATGTGTGTATATTCAAACCCTGTATATTTCAAACCTATCAAAATGAAATGGATTACAGGGGTCTGTCCAGGGTAAATTTACTACCGTTTAGCAGTACTTTCACAAAGCCAACTTTAGGAAAAACAATAGTTTCACAAATAAGAAAGAAAGTTCTCATACAAACCCGCTCGAGTTGCAATTTATGGAAAAGAGAAGTTTTTCTGCCAGCTGTCTTTTACGAAAAGGTAGCAAGTGTTTGATCCGATCATAACAAAGTGAGCTTTTTTTTGCTGAGGTTTTTAAAATGAAACGACACGAAGCTATCCCTCTATAAACTTTACAGGAAGTCTAAGTTCGAACATTAACTTAAACACTATTGTAAATTTATTCTAACAGACCTTTATTTTTTTATGAACTATTTTTTTCTCTGTGAAACTTTTTTTCTTTATGACACAGTTGAAAACGTTCTAATAATTAAAATTACTTTTAGTACTAGTTCTGTTAAGTGCATGCTTTTATTAAATTTAAGTTGAAATTGAACTATGGACAGTGATTTTTATGGATTTTGAAATTTGAATAAAATTTTTAGCCCAAAATTTTACAATAGCAAGGTTGTGTTTGAATATATGGGGAAAAATATATAGAAATTTACCAGTTGAAAATGATTTTTATTTGTAGTGACAATTTTTGAAAACATTTCCTTACTTAGCCATATTTTTGTGTTGATTTTTTAATATAATTTTTCATTTTCACAATTTATGTCTAAATTTTCACAAAATAGGTACCTCTTAAAAATAAACCTAGACAGACCCCTGGATTACTTATTTATGAATTATCTTACCTAAATAAACAATGGATCATAGAGAGAATTCTCTTTAGTTTTCAGGAACATATGAATATTTTGTTAGAATATTATTAAAATTTTTTTTAAAAAGTAAACACTAAGTAAAATGAAGTAGAAGCTATTATTGCCAGTGAAAGGGAACTCTAAAATTATTTTTGAACATAACATTGTCTAGTTAAGATATTTTTTTATTTTCCGGTATTTAATGTCTTAAAAAAAACTGAAGACTTCTTAACGGAGGACTCTTCAGTTTTTCAATAAGGTTATATTTTGTGCTATGTATAAAAAAGTAAAACAATGTGAATACAGCATAAATAAAGTTATTTTGGTCAGTACATGTATTCAGTTCCTTCCAGTTGATCAGTTGCTTGTTGTCCCCAATTTTAAAAGAGAATAGAAATGTGTATAATTGACAGATGCACAAGTACTGTGAAAAATTGAGATAGCTTAAAGGAAGTGAAATTAAATTTACTATTTGCTAGAAATGAAAAACTTTTGAAGAGAAGTGAATTTAATTTGTGAAACTTAAACCATATTAATCTTAAATGTGAATTAAAATACTTTCACTTAAGCGAAAATATTTTAATTTATATTTAATTAAAAATTGCTTCTTGTGAAGCAGTATTACATAGGATTTATAATTGAAAATTAAACTTTATAAATTTATTTTGATGTACTCTATTGTGCATTTATGCTCTTTTCTCAAAACTGAGAATGGAATATCTATTTTTTGTGCAATGCTGATATTCTGTTTGTAGACTCAAATATTTATTGGAACCCTAACACTTCAGTTACCAAATTGAGCACACTAAACAGCAGGAACTGTATTCTTCCATTTTTTTAAGATTCTAATTTTTCCTAGGGAACACAATAAGAAATGATATTAGATTTATTTTTATTTTTGGAATAAAGTTCTGTTGATAAAGTATTGTCACAAAATTTTTCAGCATTTCTATCCTAGAATTTAATTATTTTAGTCACAAGTTATTGATTCTTAAATAACAGGAATATGGTTTTATCCCTGTTACGATTAATTTGAGAAATTAAACTATTAATATTAAATAGCTTCAGACTTGTAATTGTTACATAATGAAGGAAAATATTTATAAGGCAATTTAATAGTATTTGTTATTTTTTTAAAGATATATATATAAGTATAAAAAATTAGTCCATGATTTTGCATTGAAAATTTACCAGCACCTAGATTGTTAAGGAGAAATAAAAAGGTTAGAAAAATATAAGAAAGCATTTTATTATTTAGTTATCAATGTTTGAAATATTTATCCTTGGTAATGTTTATTTTTTAGGTTTTAAATATTATTTTTATATTATTAACTCATTGATGTGTGTAACAGTTTTCAGTTCCTAAACATATTCAGAATATAATTTATATTAATTGAATATAATCAAAATAGCTTTGAGTTAAGCTCTTTCCTGGAATATACTATGGCTTTTCTCATTCTTAGTCAATGTGAAGTTAATTTCGCTTAAAATTATGTATATTTTAGCATCTTGATGTATTTCAACATGATGTTGAAATTGATATCAGCGATAAGAGATATTTCTCTGAATGGGGAAATTTTTTTGGATGAATTTTGAATAACCAATTTTGTATTACTGTTTAAAAAAAAAAAAAAAAACTTTATGAATATATTCCTTGAACTTTCATAATGTTTTTTAATTTTTGAAGATTCATGCTAAGGATACTTAATTACATATTATCCATATCTTTGTGTAAACATGAGCTTAATGTATGTATGATATATTTTGCTGTTGTTGTTTTATGAGCCAGTGTTTAATCTGCTAATAAGTGTAATAAAAATTTTTGAATCATTTATTTTACTGCTTTTGAACTTCTTTTTAGTAACATTTAACCTAAATAAGTAAACTTTAAAAATGTAAGTTATTCTCAAAAAACTTTTTGAGTCCCAGACACCTATCTTGAAACAGTAAGGAGTTTAAGGATCAATTATTACTATTGATAACAGAATGTCTCCTGAAATAAAAAACCGACTCTATCAGGCAAATAGGGCTGAGAAGATTTATTAAATCTAGGAAAATCTTTTCTTTTAAATTTTTTTAGAAAAACAAAGTTCTTACTTTACAAAACTCTTGTCAGGACAGTCTTGACATATGCTTGACGTATGAAGCTTGGACAATGACAAAACTGGAAGAAAATTGTATCGCAATATTTGAGAGAAAGATTTTGTGGAGTATACTTGAACAAAGTATACTCCACATAGTTTTGATATGGTGCAAATTAAAAGTATGTAAATGAAAACAATAACTGGAGAAGGAGATTTAACTTTGAACTGTACAAGATTTAATGA